ACTCACACATTCTGCCCTGCCTCTGGTCTAGTCGAGTTCTGTTACAAAGCAGCAAGTGCTTCTTTAAGAAGAAGAAAATACAATCAGGACAGCCAGTAGATTTATGGAGTCTTTTTCAGTGTTTCAGCTTTCTCATCTTTTCTCCCAAACTGGCCCATTTCTAGCATATTACTAAGCCTTTTCAGATCTGCTTTAGACTATTTCTAGGGCTAGTTCCCCTTTACTGGCAAGTCTCTGTTCTGCACACTGTAGCACCCAGTATCTCTGCTCTGGTCTTTGCATTGATCTTTTCCTGTTCAGGAACTTGTTTGTTTGGGCTTATATCTTACTGTGGGGATTTGTTCTGTGCTTCATGGAGTAGCGTCTGAATGCCAGTCATTGTTCATGCTTCTCTTACAGAGTCGCCCCCACTCCCATTTCTGAAGGCCTGGCTGAAAGCCATGATTCTCATCACTGCTGTTTAAAGAACAAAATATTTTTTAAAAATAAGAATTCTAAACAGTGACATGAATAGAACAACCAACATAACCCTCTAAAATTTAATACACATATTTTCTTGGATTACTAGCTTTTTAAAAATATATATATAATTGAATACAACTAAACCAAAGAAATGTCTGAGGAAACTAATTGATATCCTAGAAATAGATATCCTAATCCTAAAAACAAGGGTTATGGTTATACATCTAATACATCACTGAGGACTGGCATCTCTTAACTTAATAAACTTTGAAGTTATTTGAGGATAAACAACGATCAATCTATGATTTAATGACAGGAAGTTATTAGTGGTATTGCCCTGGTGATTTCCTTTCTCCAGTTACAAATTGATAAATCAGTACTCTTGTTTACATGATAATCTCTCTGAGTTTATGTTTAGTATGATCAGTTCCTCAGAGACCCATTAATACTGAAAGACGAAGTAAAATCAAATTTCCCTAGCATGGAGGAATGCAAGTCTTTGAAAAAGAGCTGTTGAAAGTAGTTATCTCTGCTCTAATTAAAACTGGGCAGCAAACAGTAGTAAGCACTTGTATCTACTGAGTTCCTTACTTATTCTAGACATTTAATATATAATATCTTTTTTAATCCTCAAAGTAACCTTCTGATGTAGATATTGTTTTATCAATTAGATATTTTTGAGTTGCTAGTACAGATCTATAAAAAGTTCTAGGGATTTTATTAGCTAATTAAAAAGTCTAAGGAAAGTCATGTTTCAAGTAAGATCAACACATTGTACCCCATAAATGCATTAATGTATACATGACTTATATATTTATGACTTAGTAAGAAAAAGTAGTGTGTGATCTCGTGGCAACATGTCAGTGAAGACTAATCTCTTCCTTTCACTCTTTTTTGCTTTCCATCAAAGCGTCTTATCCGTGTGGTTCCACATCCTGTCTTGTTTACTTCTGGTTCTGTTTATTTCTTGGTACTTTTCTCAAAAAGCAAAGTTTTACCCTTCAAGCATCTCCGTGCTTCTCAGTTGCTCTTAATTAAGCCATGTGCCTACCCCTGAATAAGTACTTGGGAAATGGACTTTATTGATTATGTTCAGTCAATCTAAGACCACTCTTACTGTTGAGGGTGAGGTTAATTATTCTGAAATGGGAGAAGAGAAGTCCCCTGAAGGAAATCAAGGTGAATGAGGGAAAGTAGATGGTGTACAGCAACCAGCCTCTACACAACTCTTCCTCGTTTTTTATGCAAAGAAACTTCAACAACAATAATAGTAGTAGCATTTATACTATGTGCTAGGCACATGCTTAATGCTTTAAATGCATTTTAGTCTTCAAAAACATACTGAGAAATAAATGGTCATAAATCCTTGTCCTATAGCAATTAAGAAAGATTAAACAAGTTATCCGGGGGTACGTGCTTAATCAGACCTGGGTCAGTCTGATCTCAGCGTCTGCACTTTTTTTAAAATGTCATACTACCCTCCTAGTAAATCAGTAGTTGGCTATTAAAAACATTCAAAGTATTGGCTTAAAAATTTATCATTCTTGTAGAATTCTAGGAAGTAATCCATCCCATCTTGGTTTAATGTGCAGTAGACCCATAAATAAATGAGCCTTGTAGGCCAGGATTACAAAAGAGGAGTTACTTACCTCATTTTGCCCCCTTGGAGCACAGTCCTTAGCGCAGTGGTCAGGTAGGCACTGTATGCTGTATCCATCTGCGCACATACCTCACACACGCTTTCATGCACATTCAGACCTGTGTGTTGTATGTATGAGTGTTGTATGTATCACAAATTCTAAAGTAGGTTTTTAACTTGGTAATTAATGAAAATGACAATAAAACGAGTTGGAAGGGACAGGCCCTGACCTCTAAACCTCTCAGTGAACACTGAAGACCGTATCATCTGGTATCGGCCTTCAGTTCTTTACTTAATGGTAATAATCAAGTATTGTGCCTAACAGAATATTTCTGGCCCAGACTGAACTATTTTCTGAGTATCCTAACTTAGTCCCATATTCTGATGGAGTTTACTTTTTATTTCAAGGTTCTTAATACTTGGATTTTGCATAAGCTCAGGCTTTCAGTAATTAATCACAATTATTTAATTTCTGTCGAAGGCCTTGTTTCCCTCTGGTTTTCTGCAAGAAGCAGACCAGGGTTCTAGAGTGGTATAACTTTGCTCCACTACTTAAGATCACAGTGCCTGTGTCTTGAATAACTGAAAATTGGAAACAAATTAGAAATTAACTTTCCTAGATTTAATGATTTTTGAGTCCCAATGAGAAACAAGAGATTTAATGATTTTAAGTAAGAAATTGTTCTAAGGGAGAAATATTGTTGGATTAAGTACAAGACAGTGGAAAATCCCTTCTGTGTTTGGGCTGTGCCACAGTATTTGGAAAGAGCTGTGTCTAGTGATGCCTCCCTGGCACTCTCCTTCATAAACTTGACTCCACTTTTCATCTCATTCCTAATGCTATTGAAGGGTTGTCTTTTCTTTATAAATATATTGCATATTAGCATGAAGTAATAATATTTAATAATATATTAAATGAATAATAGTTTGCTAATTAATAAATATTAATCTACAAATATTGTGGTTAATCAGGAGTACAAAGAGGATTACATGAATAAGTAAATTTTAAAAGGGCAGAAGATAGATAAAAAAGTGGTGAATGTGAGCAAACTTCGGAAAGAAAGAATATCAGGATTCAACAGAACTGTTTTCTCCTATGCTGTTTTCAAATCAAATTTCAGAAAAGGTCTTTTCATTTGAAAGCTACTCCTTTAAACAGAATGCTATGTGGTTTCAATATCAAAAGGGTACACATTTTCTAACAGGTCAACATGTATATAGCAAAAGAATTAGTATGTGAACATTGCTCCAAGTGATATCTTGAATGAAATATTGATTCCAAATCCATTTTATAAGCATCTTGATACCTATTCAAGTTGAAAAATTACTATTGGAAGTAGGTGTCTTGTTCAGATTTTTAAAGTAAGCTTGATAGAAACTATTTCAGTAATCATCCTACCAATCTGATACATAGGAAGAAATAAGTTGTCTGATATTATCAAGTTTATTTTTAGAACATATAGCTTATTTGATTTTGTAAATGGCCCATCAAAATTGGTATAACACATTGATTTGTGAACAAGAGGTCAGAAAAAGACTATTTTACGGATAGTCAGGCAGGTGTTTATTTTCTAGGCTCTCTCATTAAAGAAAAAGCCATTAAGTCTTCACCTCTAGAGCTTTTCTATTTAAGGAAGCCTAGATCCCTGCTGAAGAGGGGGAAAAAGTTCAAGAAATGGCAATTAAAATGCTAATCCCTCTTGCATAATTCAGGTTTAATAACTGGGGCCTAATAGAGAAAGTGGGATTGAATGTTTTCAGAGAGCATGTATTCTTTTGCTTTTTTATAGTACAATAAACTATAAGTAACTTTTCAAAGGAAAATAACCAAACTGTAGCTTTCAGTGCTGTCTGCGGAGAGAGCGAAGGTGAAGGCGGCGCTGTTCAGCGTGGTTGTCCCTGGGCATGTGCGGCTCTTGAGCTTCGCAGATGCAACCAGTGCTTCTAAAACACTAGCTTCAAACGTCATTTACTTGTAATTGACTTAAATTTAAAACTTGGTACTTGATTAAGTTATCAAAAAATTTATGTTTGAACATGAATATGTGAATCTTTCTTTTCAACTGTAAATTTTTAAAAATCAAAATCAGATCAAATATTTCAGATGAAAATTTGTATCTAGATTGAGATATGCCATAAATTACAATGAATATGATATTTAAAGTCCAAGTATAATTTAAAAATGTAAAATGGATCAATTGTCATTTTTACATATATTGATACATGTTATAATATTTTAGATATATTGGGCTCAAGATTATATATTATTAAAATCAATTTTACCTTTTTTGAAAGACTTCTTAAAATGTGGATACCAATAAATTTAAAATTACTATTTGGCCTCTGTTATATTTGTCTTGGACCAATATAACAAGACCAAAAAAACTACGTATTAATTTTTCATTCCATGCACAAAAATGCAATCTGGGTCAGTGACTAGATCTCTTCAGAGTTAGAGTTTTTTTCTTTTTGTCTCTGTCTGACACCACCCACAGTCGATGACGGTGTTGTTAACAGTCTTAGTTGTAAGCAATCACTGAATCTAATAACTAATTACTTTTTGTTTAAGTCATAATAATAGTCTTTTACTTGGTAATAGAGAAAGTCAAATTACTTAGGAAATTTTAGTAAAGCAAATTGGTGAAAAAAATAGTGATAAGGAAAAAGTATGACTTAGAATATTTTTATACTTTGGATCATATACAGTGTGAAGCACTTAAAGTCCTTACCTGTATCTAGAAAAGTTTATAGTGTCTGCTTTCTGATAAGGTGTGTCCTTTCCGTGTTTTCTTTTATCCTCACCTCAAACAGATTGGTAAAAAGCACAGTCAAATGTGTAATGTTTTAGGGTGTGACTTCATCATCATTTCATCTCTCTGTTCATCATCTCTTCCTCTAGGAGGTGATTTCCTCTCCTTTCTGAGAAGGAAGAAGGACGAACTAAAACTCAAACAGTTAGTGAAATTTGCATTAGATGCTGCTTCTGGCATGATGTATCTCGAGAGCAAAAACTGTATACACAGGTAAGGAGAACGTTTTTTTTTCCTGAATTTTTTTTTTAATTATTGTTTGAGATTCGATGAGGGTGTAAAGAATTAGGTTACACTGATTGCAATTGTTAAGTAAAGTCTCTTTTGTAATTGTGTCCCAACCCCAAGAGGTGTGCCATATACCATGAGCCCCCAACCCGCCTCTCCCCCTTCCTCCCTGATCCCTCATTCCCCTACCCCCCACCTTGCATTAGATCATCTACTGCCTTCGTATTAGTATTGAGCACATTGGATTCTTGCTTCTCCATTCTTGTGATGCTTTACTGAGAAGAATGTGTTCCATCTCCATCCAGGTTAATACAAAAGATATAAAGTCCCCATCTTTTTAATGGCTGAGTAGTATTCTATGTTATACATATACCACAGTTTGTTAATCCCTTCCTGAGTTGGTGGGCATTTAGGTTGTTTCCACGTTTTGGTGATTGTAAATTCATCTGTGATAAAGAGTCTAGTGAAAATGTCCTTATGATAAAATGATTTTTGTTTCTTCTGGGTAAATGGCTAGTAGTGAGATTGCAGGGTCAAATGGGAGGCCTAATTTGAGTTCTTTGGGGATTCTCCAAATTTCTTTCTAAAAAGGTTGTATTAGTTTGCAATCCCAGCAGCAGTATTAAAGTGTTGCCTTCTCTACACATTCACACCAGCATCTGCAGCTTTGAGACTTTGTAATGTGGGCTTTTCTCAGGGTGGTTTTGATTTGTAATTCTCTGATGATCAGGGACATTGAGCATTTTTGCATTTTCTAGTTTTTTAATATAATGCTTAGGAAACAAATGGGGGGGTTGCTATAATACAGCAGTAAATTTCTTTCATAAAACATGCATTTTCTTGTATGAGCAAAAAGAAGTGGAGGATGAAGCAGTTTTTATGAACCAGAAACGATGCATGATGCATATGCTGTTGAATGTGGAGCAGGGTTCGCTGTCAGACTGAGCTGTCGGAAACTTGATCTAAGCTGGTTTTACTACTGAGGTATACTTTTCTTTAGGTGTCTCATTATGAAGCTTTTCACCTACCATTCTAGTCAGATTGTATAACTTACAATTATAGCAAATTAAGTCACCTTCACCTTAATTCTACCTTTAGTCTCAATGGATATTTTTTACTTATTTTCCTAAAAACCTTTTGATTAATATTCAATTTTATTCTGGAACTAAAATTATTGCCTGTGTTTTAAATATCATTCAATAATTGCATACATTTCAAAATATATTTTAGTGGATACACTATTTTTCTGAAAATTAAGACTACTAAAACTAACCCATTGTATCCCCATTTTACTTTCTATACATATAGATTAAATCACATTATAAGAGGCTTTGTAAAAGACTAAGCATTTGATTTTGGACAAGAATTGCATTAAAATTAATTTCTTTAGTAGTAAACACTGTTAAAAGTAACCATTTTATTTAGAGAAAAATTATAATTTTGACTGCTGAGGTTTTGAGGTGCTCAGGTATCAAATTCTCACTGTAGTTTTTTGTCTCAATTTTTTTCAGTCCATTAGACTATCTATGGTTTTAAATGATAATAAGCATTATTGAAACTTTTATTAATTTTTCAGTTGCAGTGATTTTTAATTTCTAGTGCACTGCAGTTGGGGGAACCATTGTTTCCATTTCTGGCTACTTTTCTAGTGATTACTTCCCTCAGAAATGGAGGCCTGCGTTTAAGTTTCTGTACCATCAGAATTGAAACCATTAGAGATTGTGGATGGCAGTTACTTTTTAAAAATTTATTCCTCTCTCCAGAGCCTGCCATTATCTGCTGTAGTGTTATTTTCCCATTTTGCTTTTTAACACTTTTGATGTGTTCACAAATTTTTGAAGGTCAGCCTTTGCCTGATCACATCTCCTAGCAGGTTGTGCAAAGTCCTGTACCATTCGCCTGCTGGGAAGGTTCCCAGCTGAACATCTTGAACAGTGTCACTGAGAGCAGGTTTGACAAATAGGTTTAAACATCAGTGCCAACTTTTAGTGATTGGTAGTCGCTCTCTGTGGTCTGTATTAAGTATTAAGAAGGATTCCAGAATCAGCCGTAAGAAAGAGTCCAGTGATCAGTAAGTCACATCTGCCAGGGTACTGCTGAGCAGTAACACACAGGCCACATTTGGATCCTTGGCATAGAATATCTTCTTTTTTGTCTTCATTCCCATAAATACTTTTCTCCCTTTTTATAATCTTTGATATGATTTTTTTCTTTTTATTGTGGTTGTAACACAATGAGCAACTATATACCCATGTAACATTTTTCTTTAATCACTTCCATTGAATTCCTCTAAATTATCTGCTGTCCCATTTCCCTTATTAATCATGAGTGCTGATGAATTTTATGACATCTTCAGCAGTGTTCCTGCTGTTTTGGATGAATTTGTAGTTTTTTTTCTTTTTATTTTAGTACCTCCCCAATATGTGAAATTGTATTGAGAAAGTAAATCCTTCTTTGTGTTGAATTGTATAGCAGTGAACTGTACTGTGGAGTCCTGCTCTATGTGCCAGCCTATGGTACTGTTTCTGTGGGAGCTGCAGTGGTTGCAGCAGAATTTTATTTGATTCATGGTTAAAATACTAAAAAGACTCATTGTTTTTCTCCTGAGAAAAGTCAAAGAAAAATATATAATATTTACTACAATGAATAGTTTCTCTCTCACTGGAAAAATTTCTAATATGGTATATCAAAAATTAATTAAAATACTTAGGTTTCCTTTAGTTTTTCAGGTGAAGAGCAATGGCTAAGTGCCATTTTTGATACCTCCAAATATTACTAAAGTAAAATTCACAGTAAATTTCTGTGAATTACAAACTCTGATCCAGCAAATCCAAGCGAACATTTATTCTTCAAATTTTATATAAATTTTTTATAATTTTATATAAATTTATAAATTATTTCCTGTTCATTAATTAGAGGTCACTGGAACTCAGTATATACTTCAAAATATTTCTAATTGTGTGTTCCTAAAATAGTGTCTTGAACTTTGAGGGACACGTTTTCTTTCTTTGGCTTCGTTTTATTGTTTTGATTGCTGTGAGAGGCGCAGTGTGGTGTTTCATTATAGAGAAGAAGGGTGACAGCTATAAAATGGAAACAAGTGATTGCGTCAGGAAGTGACCTACATTGGGAAAATGTTCTTGTTGAAATTTTCATTTAACATTCAGGAGAATTCTCATTATATACTAAATTTCTAATTTAAACTATTTCTGCTTCTGGCATGAGAATTGCTCAATATTTTGAATTTTGGTTTTAATTTTACTCAGTGGCACTTTTTAGGAACTATTCAATAGACCAATGTGGAATTTTCTTTTCTACTTATACTTTATATAAACTATTTGAAATATACTGCTAAACTTTGTGATGTGTATACATTTACTTAAAAAGAGTACATTATTAGATTGTCAGATACCTCTCTATAAGGAATATTAAATCTGATGAATTTTGAAGTTAAGTACATTGGAGGTTAACATTACACTAAAATTAAATGGTGATGGCATTATGGTTTTATTCTTGATGAATCCTATGGTAATATTTATTTTTATTTGGGTTTATTTCTAAAAGTTGTTTTATGCCTTTGTTCTTTGTTTGATTACCATGTATTTACATTAAAGACCATAATCTATGGGGAGTTTGGAGAACATTTCTTAATTCCATTGTAAATATCAGAAAAGGTATTTTTTAGAGGGGTGAGATAGAATGCGATTTCTATTTCTAATTTTAAATCTTGTACTGATTTCTTTGTGTTTGGTTGCTCTACCAAAATGATGTTTTTGTTATGGGCAAGGTTAACAACTTTACAAATTAAAGTGTATCAGAACATTATTAATCAGTGAGAATCTTGCTTATCCATTTAGAACAATGATATTTTCAGTAAAACACAAATGCGGACAATTGCCCATTCTGTGCCAGGGGGATACCAAAATGAAAATCATGATCCCTGCCTTCTGATTTACATAACCAAAATAATAATATTGCAGAGAGATAATCTATTTTGTGATAATATGTACAAAATTCTTTGGGAATAATGTTAAGAGTCATGACTGAAATGTATGAGAGCTGTGGTAGGAACCAGGGACACTGCAGAGGATATTATTTGAGTGAGACTTGAGAGAAGGGAAAAGAAGATTCAGTGAAGAAAAAGTGAAAGCAAGGTAACAATGCTTTACATGAGAGAGTATGACTTAATTGTGGGACTTCAAGGAGTTCACTGTCATCAGAGTGGGAAATCCAAATGAGAGATGGGGCTGAGTAAACAGGGGTCATTCTCACCACGAGCCATGAATACCTTAATTTTTTTTAAATTCTTTTTATTATTATTATTATTATTAAATGATAGCTGTATGCATTAATGCAAACATGGGGTACAGTGTGTTTTCATACACAATTTGAAATATTCTCATCAAACTAGCGAACATAGTCTTTGTGTCATTTACTTAGTTATTGTGTTAAAACATTTATACTCTAATTCTAGAAAAGTTCACTTGTACCCTTGTTAGACAGACCATACAGGTGATCTTTGTATACCTTAAATTTTACTAAGCTGAAGGAGTATATATTTGACCATATGTTAGGTTATAACTAGGTTATAATTAGGTTATAACTATATTAGGTCTATAACTAGAAAAGTAATTTGAACACAATTCACAAAACACTGAAAAATGTGTAATCTCTTAAAAATGTGTAGGTATGGGACCAATTTTATTCTTAAGTTTCATTGAAAAACTAATTTAGAAAAGCTAAGATTGCCCAGAAAGGAATAATACTACATTTCACTCACATGTTAGATTGCCTGGTCCAGTGGTTGCTGATAAGGCTTACGTATGTCTACTTTTTAAGACAAATGTGAGATGTGGCTTCTGTCTTAGTTTTGTTTTTGTGAGACTTCGTATTTTAGTAAGTAAAAGATTACTATGATATTGATCATTTATATTTTTCTCAATGATCTTTGAGGATTTTATTTTTATTTTTTAACTGTACCTGAT